CGCTGGGAGCGCAGTAGCACTCCCACCGCAGGTTCGGATCCTATATAGAGATGGCCGGTGTGCTCACTGGCTGAGCGCGGTGCGGCCGGTCTCAAAAAAAAAAAAAAAAATTCAGTTATTTTTATAAGTATTTGCAATTTCCAAATAAAAAATTGACCTAGCCACAGAAAAGAGCTTTATGGCTCACAGTATTTATTTTTTAAAAAATATACTTCAAATTAAATTTTATGCTACTTTGTTGTATATCCACATAAAGGCTAAATATTATTATGGACTTAATGTAAGATTATTATCCTTGAGAATTCAGGTACGACCTTGGCTTAATTACTTTATAGAGACTTACTCATTCTTAGTCAAATCACAGAACTGAGTAATAGCACTTTTATATTCTACCTATCAATGACAGGAAGAACGTTTTTCAACATGATCAGCTTTTTTTGTTGTTAAATAATTGCTATTTAATTTATGGCAGCAACAGGTAAAATAAGGCCTAATAAGCAAATAGTTATAGATCTAAAATTTACTGAAATAAAAAATGGTGGGACTTTTGTATATTCTAGATTTCATTTAAAAGCACTTTTTATATTGAATTTTTCATGTTTCTCTACTTACGTAAAATTAACCATAAATTTCACCATGAAGTTAAAAAGTCTTTAGAAGTTACCCCATTTAAATAAATATTTCATGAAACAAATCAGTGATGCATCATGGTAAGATAGTACTGCATACAGTTCAACTTAACAGTACGTGATTGTATCTTCATGGTGTTATGTTTCTGGTTTTTGAAAAGAGTAAGTTAAAAATCTGAGCAAAGATCATTGTAAAGAACACAAAGTAGTAATTATTAGCCACTCAGTCACATTTAAAATAAATACATTGATAAAGACATCATCAAGATAGTGAAATAGATGGTCCCTAGCATCTCTTTGTCCTACAGACAATCAATTTACAACTATTAAAAAGCAAAGATTGCCAACTTGGGACTGCTGAATTGGGGGGAAAGGAAGAGAGACCTGTGGAGTTCATGAGGCAAGAGAAGGCACAGTGAAAGGAAGAAGAGACTGCTCAACCCATTTCAATCCTTGGCTGTTTCAGGACTGGCCCTGGTAAGTACAGGAAGAAGTAGCACACAGAGCAGAAGCTGACAAAAGCCTCAGTTGTGCCAATTGGGTGATGTTGCTTGGAGTCTGCAGGGGAGAAGATCATACCATACCAGTCCCCCATCCAGTGAGACCACTGACAGAGTTCCCGTAGACCCACATAGGAGCAAGGGGCTACAGCAACCAAAGATAAAAGAACACCCAGAGGCCAGTGAGTCATCACTAGGGACCTGCGCATGGCCCACCCCCCGGGAAACATTTAGAGTATGGGGAGAGGTTGGCCCACTGGGGAAACATTGGGACATAGCATGGGCAGCTGATCACCTTTCCAGTCAGCACAGACCCACTCAGTAGAGACTGGTCAGGGAGATAGAACTGCAGGGGGCACAGTTTGCTGGAAAGACGCAGTCCTGAGTGACAGTTCCTACACAGCACCAGTGTATCTGACTTCACAAGACTCAAGTGATTAAAAGGCCAAGAATTAAAACCTGAGCCACACCAAAACCCTTCCCCAGAGAATCAGCAGCAAAGCAGCAGTTTAGCTCAACAATAGGGCTCAAGTGCTGGTCCTCACAAGAAGTTCTCCCAATTTTGGAATTAATCAAAGGATGACAAATTAGTTCCAATGCAGTTTAAGTGGTGGTGGTAGCTAAAAATCCAATACAGACCTGGGGGGAAAAAAACAGATCAGAGATAAAGCTCTGACATTAACTAGTAAAAGAATACCTTTAAAACCTAGGAGAGGAAAGAGTTTCTTCAGATGCTGAGTCATCAACATAAACACACAAAGAAAGAAAGAACAGAGAAATATGACACTATCAAAGGAAACAAATCAAGCACCAGCAATGGACCCAGAGGAAGAGCGGATTTATGAAATGTCTAACAGAATTCAGAAAACCTTCTTTAGGACGTTCAGGGAACCACAAGAAATTCCAAATAGAAAATTAAATGATATCTGGAAAATAATCCAGGAGCTGGATGAGAAACTTGACAAAGGAATCGGATCAATTTAAAAAAATGGAAATTTTAAAAATAAAGAATACATGATCTGAATTTA